ATATAAAGACACAAATGTTATATTGTAAATTCAGTTTGCATAAAGTTAATTATAGATTACACAGTTTGGCTTCAGTTTTGTAGATTTTCGTTTTATGACTGCGAAGCAGATAGTAAATCGCGCTGGCACATTGTATACTCTGAATTAAATCTATAAATTTTTTAAGCTGCAAGAGGCCCAATAATTTGATAAAATCACTTTAAAAAAAAATAATTTTCAAAAAGCCATAGAAAAATTTACCATAAAATTCCTGAAAACCTGACTTTCTAAAGCATACATGATAAAGAATTCATAACTGAACAAGTGAAAGCCAACTTGAAGTCCACTAAAAAAAAATTAGTTTTGAAATTTGCAGACCTGTCAACAACCTGCCTTGAATAAAAAATAAGAGTTTACCTCAGAATTACAATCCTCCAAGCAAATCGGGCTGGTGGGTGGGGTGGGGGGGGGGGGGGGTGGAGGTGTGGAAGTCTCCAGAACTCCAGTAGAATAATATAACGTTACAAATTCTCCACTTCACAGAATTCTAAAAGAAAATTGGATTTTATACAATTCCAGCGCGAGTTCTTCAATGGGAGGAAAAAAGACACACAAAAACGCCAGTTGATAGAAACGGGCAGGGTAACTCCTCCACAAAAGTATCAGAGTGCTTGGCAGGGGTGGATTTGGTAATAAATTGAGGAATGCCTAGTGCATACAGCATTCATTACTGCACGTGTTTTATTCCCAACACCCCCTCCCCCCTCCCCCAAATGACACAAATAAAATTTCAAATAGACCAAAGTATGTACAAAGTCATTTTCCAGAAAATAATATTTTGTCTATATGTATATATATATATATATATATATGTGCATATATTATAATGGCACTTATAATAAGGTTTGTCAAAATCAGTGTGCCCATCCTAACCCATACACGAGACAAATGTACTTTTCCCACACAGGTTAAGCATAGTTATTCTGTGCGTGATATCACAGACAAATCATGTACACCTCTGCCAGTCGCACAAAAGCAAAAGACACACCAAAGCAAAAGACACACCAAAGCAAAAGACACACCACTCACCGCTCACCACTCACCACTCACCGCTCACCGCTCACCGCTCACGCAGCAGAGCCTGACACTCAACATAACAATATTCGTAGACATTCAACACATCATAGAAATTTAGCATTGAAATATTCAAAATCATAGACAGACATTTAACAGTGCTGACTCACTGACGGTCTACAGTAATAATGTGTTTTAAAAGTTAGTCCCCTCTGGTTTGCCATGATCTACAGCAATAATGCACTCTACAGTAAGGTCATGTGCAGGACGCATTTTATATTTTCACTGAAATACCACTCCACCCCCCCTCCCTCCCAAATCAAACTACAACCACAAAAACAAACATTTTTGGTTAATACAGCCAACGACAGTCTCAAGCCAGTACAAACATGTCCATCCGGGAGTAGAACTGTTGTTGTCAGACAAGTCTGGAGGTAGACTGTCAGCTAGAACAGAAACATCGCTGTAGACCATCAAGTACACCAACAACCATTTAACATTGCAATATTCATGTAGAAATAAAATGTAAGAAATACTTATAAGGGCAATGAGCCTTGTAGAGAAAAAAAGTTATAAAGCTGTATCTTAAATTCTAAAGAAACATTTTTCCGTATATTTTTTAACGTTTTTTTGTTGTCTTTTATCTTTTCATGTCTTATGCGATCATCCTTTCCTCCCCACTCACTCCAGTTCAGTAAAGCCAAGCATCAGATCCGTTTCTACCAGCAACCAGACACTCATGTACATCAGCCACACACAGACAACAAGGGCGCAAAATTTTTAAAAAAAAATAAACAAAAAAAACAACAAAAAAACAACAACCCCAAAGCAAACCGTAAAAGAAAAAAAAATCCTTTACATGCTGTACACGTCCGATCGACAGACCGGCCAAACTTTTTCTCTCCTCAACAACACACCATCTATCCGCTCACCGGGTCTTTTGAACTTTGTAAATTAATCTTTTACTGTTAGTTTTGTAAAAGTTTTTTTTTACAGCACTCACAACAGCATAAGGTTATATGAGCACAAGGGACACAAGTTAGCAATGTTCATGTTAATCCGTCCCCCCCAATTCCCAATCCATCAACACAATCTAGACCATTTGGGAGGCAGGCTGCTTCAATGCTTCAACCCGACAAGCAAAAAACAGCCTTGGTAACAAGGGGCGCTACGTCACAGCAGTGCGACCGGCAAACTCAGAGACAAAAGTAAGTGGAACTCCTGGGAAACTACCCCAAGAAATGCTACACCAAGAACAACCTCGTTATGGATATTCAATCCACGGCCATCCACATCAGAGCTTATACTTGTTTGGGATAGAGCGCTATATAAATGCAATCTATTATCATTATTATCATTACTATTATCATATCCCAGCAAGATACCACCTGAGGTAATGGCGCACCCACGTATAACAAACAAAGTAAAGTTATAGAAGGAAACACACAACTAAGAGGTTAAAAAATAAAATAAACACGGCACACAGAGATCAGACTCAGAAAGCAGCAGTTATCTGCAAAACGTAGGAGGAAAACCAAACAACAACCCCAACCTTCTTCCCTTCAGCAGTCAACAGAGCAGGCGTTATCTAAAAGACAAAATCACTTGACAACAACAACAGCAGCGGTTGCCCTGCAAAACCCCGGGAGAAACAATCTGTACTTTCACACTCGTAAAGTTATCAGCAGCAGTAAAATGTTTTTAAAAAGTAAGTGAACAGAATTTAACAAAAATGCCTCGAACAACAACAAAATGCCCAACACCTTAAAAAAAAAAGAAAAGAACTGCGGCTCATTGAGTCCTAAAACCAAAAAACAACAACAACAAAACAAACAAACCCAGACAACATGTACCTTTGTCTCACTGTGTCCTAAGTGTCTTTGATCTGTCGAATCCTGCAAAGAGGACCACCCCCCTGACTCCCAAATTATTTCTTTAAAAAAAAAAAAAAAAAAACACCCAATAAAAAACCGCAATTGGAGAAAAGAAATGTTCCCTTTATCTCGACCGGTGAGACTCCGTCATGATTCGCTATGGCATATGGCAGAGTTCTCCACTAAGCCGTCAATCTGATATAATCAGTTACGTCAAAATCCACAAAGAAGGGGAAAAAACCTGACAACTACGGTGAAACATCATCAAAGTTTTGTATAACTTCAGATGTACACATCCCTGGACAACTATGTCTCGCACATTTCTTCTCTCAGGAATAAAATTTACAGGGTAAATTAAATGGCCCAAATTGCTTAGCACAGAGGAAATCTCATGTGGCACAGTAGAAATCTCATGTAACACACTTGAGGGAAGGCACAAAGAATACATGTGCTCAAACTGATCATATCAGTGTGTGCAGTTATTGCATCAGATCTATTCATGTGAATCTTACATATATTGCAAGGAAGACTTCATTCGTTAAACCCGTTGTCTCCGAGTGATTGGTATCACGTCAAGGAGAATGCGATAGATTACTTCCAAATAATCACTGAAAATGACTCAGTACGTTCACAGTAGACTAGCATTTTTATAATAGATGTTCATCTATTTCCTTTGGGGTCTGTCTGTTCAATTAGCTTATTGACAGTTAGAATGAAACAGGCGGTATCTTCAAAGAAGCATTGTTTGAATTTTAACTGTGTGATAGCAGTTTCAAAACTCGGTTGATTGCACAAAAACAACTACAACTTTGTGAATAAAAATTTTTTGCTATGAGAAGTGACATGTACATTCAGAATTGAATGTTATCTGAAATACATAATTTTAAAAAACCCAACAGTTCCTTACTTATTTATATGTTGGTTGAATGTCCGAAGAAATATACTGTCAAAAATAAAATTCTAAATGTTGAAAGACAAGAAAAGATATATAAAGCAGGTTCAATTGTCTAAAGAAAAAAACAGTTTTTTTCCTCTCAATAGAAAAAGTTTCCTTTCTGGACTTAGAACATTATAATTCGATAAGCTTGCTGACATTATCATGATTATGTAGAAGACAGTGCGCATTGATTTGTTCCCCCCCCCCCTCCCACAAATCCAAGGAGGTACGTACAAATACTGTTCTTTCTGAAATATACCACTTCATTGTATCAGTTTTTGACAACTGAATCACAAATACCTATTACTTCATCGAAACAGTTTCCAACAACACACACACACACACACACACACATACTACTTCATTGCAACAATTTCAACAGTCAGTACAGACAAATCTATCAAAAACAATAATTCAAAACATTTTTCTTTTTTTTCTTCTTTAAGAGACTGACGGATAGCAGACATAGACAGGCATAGTTCATCACATATTCTGAAGAATACTGTTTTCTTTCCATTTCTATGAGGTAGGCCATGAACTCACAGCTCCAACATTTTGCACAGTTTCCAACATCTGTTACATGTTGTATGCAAATATATCTAAAAATAAAAAAATATATTGAGATCACCGTCTGCTTTTATTTCTTTCCTGCCATTCCTATGATGAGGTAGGTCCGTTTTCGTTTTCAGAAACACATTACTTCATTGTTACAGTTTCCAACATTTGTAAGACCTCCAAACATCAAAAACAGAACACTGATTTGAGAAGACTGCATGTTTTTCTTTTCCATTCCAAACATGTAGAAGGTATAGTACTAAATGCCAATATTATCACAGCCCTGTGTCAAAACATTTCCCAAAATGTCAAAAACAAAAACAAAATAAAAGTAAAAAAAGAACACCAAAAAACAAATTCTTTTTTTAATTAAAAACCTACACAAAAATACAACAACAAAAAACCCCCCAAAAAATATAAAGAAAGATGGAAAACCTAAAAAGGCTTTTACACTGTGAAGGTATATGGCACCTAAAAGTCGTTGTGTTTCTCTCCTAAGACAGACCCATCGCCTGGTGCCTTGGTGGAGATGTTATTGCTGTTGCTATTGCTGTTTAGTCCTCTGCTGTCCATGTGTTAACTTTTCAGAAACAAAGTTGCCTGTCCTTGCAGATGCCGTTGTCGTCGTTGCCATCATCATCATCACTCCACACCAGAAAGCCCCTCAACATGAAAAGCACCCCACTTTGCCCTGTATCTCCCCACTCCCCCTCAACCACCACCATTATTATCCCACTCTACCCCCAACAAGACCCATTCTCATCCCATCCCCATACCAAACCCCACTCCCCGCCTACTGCACAGAATCCCACCACCATTCCCACACCCTCTCCCACCACCACCAACTTCAATATTCCTTCCATATATTATGCCAAAACAACACCTTCCACCTCTACCCAAACCACACCCTCCTCATCCTGTCTCTCACTCCGTTGTTCTCCTCCTCCTCTTTTCTCTCGCTCCGTCGTTCTCCTCCTCCTCTACCCCAACAACACCCTCCTCATCCTGCCTCTCGCTCCGTTGTTCTCCTACTCCTCTTGTCTCTCTCTCCGTCGTTCTCCTCCTCCTCTTGTCTCTCGCTCCGTCGATCTCCTCCTCCTCTACCCCAACAACACCCTCCTCATCCTGTCTCTCGCTCCGTTGTTCTCCTACTTCTCTTGTCTCTCACTTCATCGTTCTCCTCCTCCTCTTGTCTCTCACTCTGCCGTTCTCTTCCTCCTCTACCCCAACAACACCCTCCTCATCCTGTCTCTCTCTCTCTCCATCGTTCTCCTCCTCCTCTTGTCTCTCGCTACGTCGTTCTCCTCCTCCTCTACCCCAACAACACCCTCCTCATCCTGTCTCTCGCTCCGTCAGTCTCCTCCTCCGTGTCGCTGTCGCTGTTGACACACACTGTGGGTGAGGTGGTCGTGCAGCTGGGTGAGCACAGGTACTGTAGCAGCGGTAGTCTGTACTTACCGCAGAAGTCCACAAACTTCACCTGCTCCACACGCGACGCGAAGTACACACCTGTGTGGACCGAGAGAGAAAGTTGTAGTAGTTTTATTCATGTCAATGACCAGTCATTAAAACATATGCATGCAAACACATACACAAATACACAAACACATACACACACAAGTACACACACACACACACACACACACACACACATACACACACACACACACACGTAATCACACGATCACAACTAATAGCGCCAAACAATCACAGCTCAACAAAAGGAAACACAATAGGCCCAGATCTAAAAAGCAATAACGAAAGAAAGCAAAATACAATAGCTCCAATATTCCCCACGACAAATAAAAAAGGAAGAAAACCTTGCCCTATTCAAAATCTAATAAATTGAATACGTATGTGAGGAAAGTTGTGAGGGTAGACCAGTCAGGAATAAGATAAGGGAAGATAGATCTACTAGCCCTATCCGTACGTCGTGTTTTACAATCGTATCCATACGACGTTTTGAACTGTGTGCCACCACTTTCCAAAGAGAAAATTTACTCGTTAATCCGATCCGTACGCTTTGCAAAGCAATCTGTCAAAATGATTTTTTGAGAAATACTGAAAGTTTCAAAGAGATCTTCGTACTAGATCTAGAAGTATTCTAAAATGTGAAGAATACAACCCCGGGGATACACAATGACCTCAGGGCGTATGGATAGGGTTAAATCTATTATAATGTCCATACAGCATCTACACTTTGTGGGGAAGATATTGCCCTTATAATTGCCAGTTATATTAGTCTTCTGGGACAATATCACAAGGAGAATTGGTCGTAAAAGGATGTGACCAACAATATACATTGTAATTATTAGCCTTTGGGAGTTGAGAGGGCAGTGGGAGGGCGGAAGGAGAGGGGGTGGGGTAGGGTAAA